TTTTTTTTTATTATTAATTTTTATATCATTTAATTGTATATTAATTTTAAATTTATAAATACAATCTAAATTTATATAAATTTAAAATGAATCATTTATTTTATAATTTTATATATATTTTTTATTTAATATCAGTATTTTTAATTTAAAAAAAAAAATAGAAATTGCTATTTTTTGTAATATAAAAAAAAATATTATGTAAATAATGCAATTATATTTTTTTATATAATAATGATTTTATTTATTTATATAATATTCGTTAAATCTCGTTATTAAAATATCATAATAAATATATTTAAATAATACTATTTACTTTTATTTATTTTCAAATTTATTTTAAAGTAAATTCATTATTATGTATATTTAATATTTTTATTTTTATTTATAAAATAATATTGAAACTTTTATATAAGTAATTTTTTAATTTATCAATATTATTATTAATACATCTTCAAATTATATTTATTACATTTGATTTTTTTTTATTTTTATCATAAAGTATAATCATAAATCATAAAATTTATAATAATTTTTAAAAAAAATATTTATTTTTATTAATAAATCACTTAAAAAATATTTAATTAATTTTTTTTTAATTTTCTATAATCAAAATTAACAAAAACTATATATATATATATATTATAAATTTTAATATTTTTTTATTTGAATAAAAATAATAATAGTAATATTTTAATATCTAATTGACATCAAGAAAATTAGGCAAATGATGATTAGCTAAATAGTATAAGATTTGTATTAATATAAATAATAAATAAATAATAATTTTTTTAAAATTAAATAAATTAAAAGCTTTAAATTTAAATAAAAAAATAATAATGATAAAGAAAAGAATAAATAAAAAAGTTAAAAATAAGATAGTCTACAATTAAATTAAATAATATATCAATTAAATGGAGAGTATGAATGATTTTTATATAAAAACATATTTTTTTCTTTTAAATAATAAATTAAAAAATCATTAATAAATATAAAATTAAAATTCATTTTTTTGTTAATTTATTTAATAAAAATAAATTAAAAAAGTAATTAATAAATTTAGCATTTTAATAATCCAAAATAAAAATAATTTGTTTAAAAAGTAGAATAATAAACATTTCTTTAAAAACTTTGCAGTTGTTTATTTGAAACATAGTTATATCAATAAGAATTACTAGAAGAAAATAATACAAAATCAATAACTGAAAATTCGAATAATACAAAATATGAAAAAATAATGTAAATTGGACCATAAAAAGAGCATAACAAAGGCAAAAAGACATTAATATTAGATTTAGATGAAACTCTTGTACATAGTTCTTTTTAAGAAATAAATTCTTATGATTTTAAAATATAGGTAAAAAAAATAAAAATAGTTAGATATATATTAAATTAAAGTATATTTTATATTATAAACAAAAAGATTTTAGTATAAGATATTCCGTTTACAGTATATGTTAAAAAAAGACCTGGAGTAGAATATTTTTTAAATAAAGTTAGTGAATTATATGAATTAGTTATATATACAGCTAGCTTAGCAGATGTAAATAAAAAAATAATCTATTTATAATATATATATATATATATATATATATATATATATTATATATATATTTAGAAATATATATATATTTTTATATATTAATTTTTTTTTTCTAAAATAGTATGCTAATCCTGTGTGTGATATAATAGATTAAAAACAAATAATATGTCATAGATTATTCAGAGAAAATTGCACTATTCATAATGGAATGTTTGTCAAAGATTTAACAAAAATAGGAAGAAACATAAAAGATTTAATTATTGTTGATGTAAAATTCAATTTTTTTTATTTAAAATATAACTAAAATAATAAAATATTCATAATAAATAAGAATTCAGAAACCTCATTTTTATTTCAACCTGAAAATGCAATATAAATAACTAATTTTTTCGAAGATTAAAGTGATCGCGAATTATTTAGACTTTTACCTTTTCTTCATTTTTTAAGTGATGTAAAAATAAAAAAATATAAAATATTACAAAATAAATAGGTAAATGATGTAAGATCAACCAAAATGTGGATGGAAAAATACATATAATATGACAAAATCGACTATATAAATATAAAGGGAGAACATAAATAATTTTCTCGTAAAAAATAAAAAAATCTAATTATAATAATAATTTAATAAGTGAAAATAATTCTTATTATTCAAATTTAATTTATGATAATAATACTCCTGGAACAAATAATATAAGCTAAATAGGAAATACCGATGATTTATCTAGAATATAAATGCAAAATCAAACAAATGATAAAAAATATAAAAAGAAAACACTAACTATATAAGTTACTGAAGAATAAAAAGAATAAGAATTATAAAAATAAAAATAAAATATGAAACTTGATAATGATTTAGAAGATTTATAATAAAAAGTTAGTATTATATATTCTGTAAAAGGAAATAATAAATTAGAATCAACAAGGAAATTAATTTCTACTGCTTAAAAAAATTTAAATGATGAAAATTGTTTCATGCATAAAACTTGCCCGGGAGAAGAAGAGAATCAAAAAGGAAAAAAAGCAAATAAATCTTTTGAAAGTATTAGGTATAATGTTGGAGAAATTAATATTAATTCACCTATTGCTAAATAAGATCTTATTTATTATCTTAGGGAACCTAAAGATGGATATACTGAACCTAAAATCAATAAAATTAGTAATTATTTCGAATAAGAATATGTTTAAAGGCTTGACGAAAATAAAAATGATATTGATAATCAATTAAAAGACTGAACTTTTAATTTTTTTTTTATATAAAATAAAATTTATATATTTATTTTTGTTTTTTTGTTTTGTTTTAAATTAATTTTTTATTATTAATAAATAATAATATATATATTATATATATATATTTATATATTTATATATTTAAATTTTCAATTATTTTCTTTTTATATTTATATATAAATTATTACTACAAAAAAATTTAATATTAATGAAACCAAAATATTTATTATTTTTATTTTCATTAATTCTTTTAATATCAACACTATTATATAATTTTTATAATGAGCCAATTCATTTATTAAGTATTAAAAAATATAAAAAATTAAAATAATAAATACTTCTATTATTATAAAAATGTAGAAAAACATAAATAATATAATCATAATCAGAAATTAAATTTAATAAATAACAAAACAAAATCTTAAATATTATTTTAAATAGACATCAAATTTGTTACTTAACATTAATATCCAGTTAAATAATCAAAAGTAACAAAAATAAAAACTAAAATAAAAACTACAATAAAAATAAATAATAAATAAAGGTAGTCATATAAATAGGTTCTTTAGCATAAACCGAGATACCAGACTAAGAAGGAAAAATATAAATTAAAGGAGATTTATAATAAATTACTAATACAGAATAAGAAATAATAGATGGAAAAATACAATTAATAGTAGGCGAAAAAATTAATAATTAATAAATGAATACTACATAAAATTATAAAAAACATAAAATTATAAAATATCTCAATAATATATATTAAAACCAACATTACCGAAATAAGTAAAAATAAAAGGATGTGTATTAGATGAAGAAAAAAACCACTATAAAATGCAAATGTAAAAATTTCATTTGATTTTCCTATTTTTTAAGATTAAGTTGATAGTTTAACTAATTCTTAAGGTTGCTTTGAAATTAATGATGATTTATAAGAATTTACACCAATATATGGTATTTTTATTATATTAATTATTTATAATTATATATATATATATATATTTATAAATATTTGTAGAATTTATTTATTTTATAAAAATAATAGGGAACATCATTATATAAAAAGAAAAATTTTAATCTTGGAATATGTAAAGAGATTCTATATGCTGTAAAGATGGCTTTTATTTATTAAATGATTTATAATTAGATATTTAAAAAAATTCTAATGAATAAATTATATTATATTATAACCGTTTGAATTTAAATTTGAAAGGAATAATTAATAATTAATAAAAAAAACCTTTAAAAAATGTTTAAATTATATTATTTTGTAAAAGTGATTAAGATAAAAATATGAAAATCAATATAGATAAGGGTATATTTTCAAATGAAAAAGGAGAATTTTTCATTGTAAAAAAATCTGAAATGTTAATAGAAGGAAATTTATAATGCGAAATGTCTTTTTTACCAAATAATAAAGAAGTTCATTATCAAGAAAAGAAAATACAGTTTATACTTTTTTATGAAAAATAATACATGTATGAGCCCTTTGATATTACAATCACTCCTAAAATCTTATAGGCGGTTATCTAAGGATTTTCGAAGGGTGTAATATAAACTGAAGGGTATTTAGACGGTGGAAAAGTAGAATTTTCAATTGAAAATAATATCGATTTTATTAATGTGGAACCCAGTTTTACTAAAAAAGGGGCTTTTGTATTAAATTTTAATGTTTATGAGAGTTAGACAGAATACATAGGTTAATTAAAAATTTCTGATGGCAAGAAAAGATATAAAGATAAAATTATTTAAGTAAAAGTGGAAAGAAAAAAATTTTTTAAAGTTAATTTAAGAGATATTTATATGGAATATATTCCTAAATAAGCGAAATTAGTAATAAAAGGAGCATTTTAAGAAAATACAAATAAATAAAATATAAAAAACACAACTTTTATTATCAAGAAAAGATATATGTAAAATGAGAAACTTATAAGAGAAATTTCTTAGGAATTAAAAATTGATTTTTAAGGCAATTTTTTTTAATAATTTGATTGTTTAGATATTGACTAAATAGAACTTTGTGTAATTTTTTAGCATGAAAATGATCTTTATTTTGATTATTTTGAAGTAAAAAAAATGGCAAATTTCGAAAAAGGATTTTTTTTAGATTTTGGAACTTTAATTTTGTAAAAAAAAATATAAATAGGAAGTATTTAAGGAGTTCTTAAAGATAAAGATAGTAGCAAATTTTTAGATAAGACGGTAAAATAAATTTAAATTTATATATATATATATATATATATATATATATATATATATATTTTTATATATTTTTATATATTTTTATATGTTTATATCTTTTAATAATATTTAGTCCATTAATATATTAAGTATACCAAATTTACCTTAATAATAATAATTCTGCGAATGTAATTCTTAAGGAATTTTTGATTGTAGAATTTCTGTTGAAAAAGGGTTAAAATATTCACTTAGTCTTTAAATAGTTAATGTATATAAATAATAAGGAATTTATAAATTACCAGATTAAGAATTAAGTTTGTAAAATAATTACTAAATTAAAAATTTAAAGGTGGATATATAATTCGATAAAATAAAAAAATAAGGTATTATTTAAGGCATAGTTTATAATAAAAAAAACGGAGAAGCTTTAAAAAATAGTTCTTTTATTATTTTAAATATTTTACCAGAAAATTAATTAGGCGAAGATTCAAGAAAATTAATAAAAAATGAAATTTAAATTGGAAAAGATGGAAAATTTGAACTTTTATTATAAGTTTTTTTAGGATTTTCTTATGAGATTTAAATTAAATTTCAATGTAAATTATTCTAAGATTATATTTAGGTTTTTTTTTATATATATATATATATATATATATATATATATATTTTATATATAAAAATTAGACTTTCTATTTAAACGAAAAAAATTTTTATTCTAACAAAGATTTAAAAATCGAATTATACCCTCCCGCAAACTTATTTTTGAAAGGAAAAACTTTAAACTTTCTAAAAAATGCAGTAGGTGATACAAATCTAGAACTAACAATTTTTCTAGACCAAAAACACTAAAAAACAGAAAAAGAAACTTTTTTTTCAGACCCAAATACTGGTTTTTTTGAATTCCAAATGTCAATTTTAGATATAAAATAGAATCTTTAAGGCGTTTTAACAGTTTAGAAATAAAACTATGCCCCATATGAGGAAAAACTAGTTTTTAAATATATAAAAGATATTTTTTTAATTGAAAATCACATAATAGAGTTACATGGAGTTGATTTTTTTTCAACTTTCTCGGGATAATTATTCGATTAAAATTAAAAAGTGGCTAATTTATGTAAAGTATTTGTCTATTTGAAAGAAAAAAATAAAGCCAATATATAAAAAGAAGTTGATTATGATTGGAAAAAATATCCAGTTTTAACTTAGAGTGGATTTGATGGAAAATTTTAAGTGAAAATTGAAGTTAATTATGATTTTGAATTTTAGGGTTTAGTGGTTGTAAAAGGTAAATTTTTTGAGGAAAAAAAATAGCTTTTTTAATTAAATTCGAAAAATGCATATTCTATTAATAATTTTGTTTTGAAAAATATCTAAAGGAAATTCACCAAAATATCCTATTAGGCGTTCCTTGTTGATTAAGCAAATCTTCCGTTAGAAAATATTACTATATAGCTTGTTTTAGGGGAAAAAAATTAAGAATATTTCACCAAAAGTGATTCGGAAGGTAGATTTAGGTTCGATTTAGATAAAAATATATACCTAGGATATGTTTATGAAGGATAAATATTAGTTAAAGGTGATTAATTAATAGAAAGTTTTGAAAAAAAAGCAATATTTTCATACTCTAATGATTACGAGATTTTAGACGAAATCCTTTTTATATAATATAAGCCTATAGTATATAATTTAAAAGGTAAAGTAGTTGAAAAAGGTACTAATATATTAATAAAAAAAGCTTAGATAATAATAATTAATAATAATGAAAAACCTATACTAATGAAAAAGGAGAATTCAATATATAAGTAAAAATATAAAAAGAAGAATAAATAAATATAAAGATAAAACACTAATTATATAAAGATGAAAATATGTAATTTTTTAATAAAAAAAATAATAAAACATTAATAATAAAAATGGAGAAAATTTAAGAAAACCAAATAGAAAAAATTGGAAAAATTCAAGGTTTTATTTTAGACGAAAAAAAGGGAGGATTTAAGGACATAAAGGTTATTTTAAAAAATGAAGAAAATTAATAATTTAGGAATAAAAAACAGACTTTTAAGGTTTTTTTTCATTTTAAAAAATTTAGGTTTACCCGAAAAATGAATATGTGTTTTTTATTGAATATACACTAGAAATAGAAAGTGTTGAAAAATAATAATTCGAAAAAAATTAAAATAGGGAATTTATTCTTTCTGAAAAAAATAATTATTAAAATTTTGGAAAGCTTCTCTTTATTAAAAAGAAAAAAAACCGCATTTTAAATTCAAGGATAAATTATGGAAACTAAAAGTAATACTTTAGTAAATAATATATGCGTCTTTGTCAGGTTTTCGATTAGAGACACGCATAAGATAGTACTGGATGTAGTGATAAATTAGGGAATTTTATAGTAGAAGGTTTTTTATAAGATGGAGGAGATTTTGAGGGAAAAATATATGTTTTGGATAATTATGGTTAGTGGAATCCTTTAGTTTTACAGTTTAAGCTGTTTTAAAATAAAAATTATATTTTAACAGGAATAGAATGCTTGGTTTCTAAAAGTAATTTCTAAGGGGAATTTTTTTTAGATTTTAAATAAAAAATAATTATATCAGGAAGTATATATGAAGAAACAATCTGCAAACTATTCCCTTAGAAAGTAGTTTTTTAAACTAAAATAAGTCTTTTTATTAAAGAAATGTTAGAAGTAATGACTATAAATGATTTAGATGGAAATTTTGAAATAAATATAGGAAATCCGAACAGCGATTTTGTATAAATAATTATATTAATAGAAAAACAAGGATATCATCCAGTTAAAATATATAGAAAAATTTATTAATAAAATTTAAATTTAGGATATATATAAATAGTTCAAATAAATGGTATTAAAAGTAATTGCAATTTAGATTAATAATAAATTTAAAAAAAATATAGATAGAGAAAAATGATAAAAATATATATTATAAATAAAATATAATTTATAAGCATATATATAAATAAATAAATATATATAATATATATATATATATATATTATATTATTATTATTATTTATTTTTTATTATTTATTATTTATTATTTATTATTTATTATTTAATTTTTTTTTTATTTTCTATTTTTTCATTTTTCTTTTTTCTTTTTAAAAAATATAAAAATATTTTAATAAATATATTTATATTACAAAATAAATTAAAATCATCTTTAATAAATAAAAAATACACATGGGAAATTAATTACTTGCAATTGGCAGAAATCGTAATCTTATTTAAGAATTTGATTCTTGGTTAGAATAAAATCCTGAACTGTCTTAAAGGAAGACTCTTTTTGAGAATAAAATATTTCTTACAGTTTCTCTTAACTTAAAAAGTCAAAACTCACATATATTAATGAAACTATACCTAAAAGAATAAAATACAAAATACCTAGAAATATACATATAGTAATTTTTATATTTATCTTAATATATAAATACTAAATATTATTCCAATTTACTACCATTCCATTATATAGATTAATCATCTGAAGAGTTTATAATAGTTGCCCGATAATAAATGCATACTACACTATAGGATAGATTTTTTATTCGCCCAAGCATAAAATAAGAAATGAAAAATTGGATTTTATTCTAAATTATTATTTCTATATATAACATTCATGTAGACTTAAATATATTCCATGGATCAATTAGGGCTTCTAATGTACTTTTGACTACATCAAATCATGTATTTTTGACTGATTTTGCGAATTATAAGCCTTTTTTTATTAAACCGGATGATTAGTTGAAGGACTTGAGGTTTTTTTATAAAACACATGAAAACAATTGTACTTTACCTCCCGAAAAATTTCTTAATAATCTCTTAGTATAAGACGAAATTTATAATATGAATCAAATTCCAGCTGATTTATTATGTTAATTGTAATAAATGGACATCTTTTCATTAGGATGTCTCATTTCTGATCTTTATTTAGATGGTGAGGCCCCTTTATTTACTTATGAGTAAGTTTAATTATTTAAAAGAAACGCATATAGTCCTAAGAATATTATAGTTAAGATATAGGAGTAAAAAATAAAGAGTTTAGTTGAGAAAATAATCTTTAATATTAATGGAAACAGGCCTAATATTTAAGAAATTGCAAATTATTTTAAAAATGAAATTATTGGAGAGGAAAAAATATTGATTTATTAATTAATTTATGATATAGATTGCATTTATCATTCAAGTTTTTTCGCTTCGGCTGATTTTAGAGTGGCTTTTTTTAAAGAAATTTTACCAATTATACATTAAGTGATTTTAAAATAAGAATTTTGTACGAATTTTAGGTTTTCTTTGCCAATTCCATTATAGAAAATTGATTTTAAAAAAATTCTGATGGAACTTTTTAATGGGAGATGCAATATTTTTGATATATTTAAAACGGAGAGTGTATAGTTTATTAAAAATAATTCATAATCAATTATTTAGATAGAAAATATTTAAAATTTAATTGAGTAAGATTTAAAGAAGTAGGAGCAAATTTTCTAATAAAAAAATAAGTAGAAAAATATATATAACTAACAATATTAGTAATTTGAAAATAATAAAAATTAAATAAAAAAAATTAAGATTAGAATGAAAAATAAGATTAAGATTAAGATTAAGATTAAGAATAATAGTAATAATAATATTATTAATAATAATAATAATAAAAATAATAATAATAATAATAATAAGAATTTTTAAACTTAGAATAATAAAAAGATAACTAAGAATTCTAAAATTTATAAAAAAATTTATATTAAAATAGTCAATAATCTGAAGATTAAAAAGGTTTATTTGTTCCAGAATTACGTATTATTATAAATATGCTATGTACAACAATACGAAACGTAAAATATGTTAATAGTAAATTATTAGGTATAGAAATACTAGTTCATTTAGCAAAATATGTATCTAATTGGGATAAATTGCATAATATATTACCTTATATATGTAATTTAATTGATGATTAAGAATTTTTAGTTGCAAAATAAGCATTTTTATCATTTTTTGAAATATTAAAAGAAATGTAATTAAATGACAGTTTTTATAGTTAAAAAGAAATAACTTTATATAAAGCTTTTGTTTGGAATAATATTCAAAAATCAGCTAAAAATCATGATATAAAACCTATATTTATAACAAATTGTATAGAAATGGGAATCATATGTAAAAACTTAACAAATTAATTATTATAATTAAGAAATAAATAAGAAAAAGTAGAAAAAGAACTTTTCAGAAATTGAATATGGTATTATTTAAAAAATAAATATAATAAATAGAGATATAATTAATATATATAAATAAATATAAAATATATATAAACATATATATATATATATATATATATATATATATATATATATATATATATATATATATATATATATATATATATATATATATTAGATGATGAATATTCACAAGAACTTAAAGAAATCGAAGAATTAATAATACATACATTTGAAGGAGCTCTAAAATATGAAACTTCATCCTAAATTGCAAATTTAGCAATTTAAAATCTTCCTTAGCTTTTAGATTTTATTCATAAGGAAAAATAGCTTTTTGATCATTTTATAAGTTTAGTAAAAAATAAAATATTAATATAAAAATAATATAAAATATATATTAAAGGTAGTTTCATGTTTAAATATCGAAGAAAGAAAGCGCGCATGTTTGGAAACAATGTATGAGATAATAAAAAGAATTTAAAATGATTAATTTGTAGATTTATTAATTTTAAGTACATAAGCTTTAATATACGAATAAAGTGAATTAATCGTTTAACTAACATTAAATTTCTACGTTTAAATAATATAAAACTAACCATAAAAAATAAAACCTAATTTAGAAAAATAACTAATGAAAAAGTTTGTTCCATTAATATTACACCCACATAATTGGATACGATAAGAAGCAGCACTTTTTATATCTACAATAATATAAAAATCCAATAATTTGTATATTCTTAAAGAAATAATGCCTATAATAGGTCCTTATTTATGTGAAGAAGTGCAAATTTTAAATCAATCTATTTTCTATTAATTACTACCGAAAGGAATAGATAAATAAAATATAGATTATAAATAAAAAAAATGCAATTTTTAAAAAGGGCCAGCAGCTGCCAGTTTTACATTAGCTTAATGGAATGGATAAAATGTGGAATAGTTAAAATAATAAATAAAACTATTTGAAAATAATTATTTGAGAGAAATTAGAAGTTCTCAAGATAGTTAATACAAAGAAAAAGCTTTAAATGAATTTAATAAATAGTTAGATTTTATAAAAAGTTAAAGTTCTATAAAAATAAGTATTTACAAAAAAATAAGTGAATATTTAATAAATGCATATAAAAATTAATTCTTTTTACATATTAGTATATAAAATATTAAATAAAAATTAAAATATTTAAATATAAAATTAATAATAAATAAATTAATAACAAATATTAATTGGTTAATAATAATAATAATAATAATAATAATAATAATAATAATAATAGTAATAATAATAGTAATAATAATTACCTTTTAAACATATAGTTTTATTATCTTAATCATAAATTTTAAATAGTATATAAACTAAAAACTAAGAAACTTAACAAATGTTAGATTTTTTTAAAATGTTTAAAATTTTATTCAATGATAATAATAATCCATAATATTTATTAGATATAGATAATAACACTTAAAAATTTTTAAATTAAATTTAATTTTAGCTTTCTATAAATTTCGATTCAAATATTAATAAATTCTAGCTTTTTTCTAATCATCTTTAAAAAAATTTTGCTAATTCACTTATTTTAGTATAATCATTTATGTTTTAAATAAACCAATTCGAAATTTAAGAAGAAATAGATTTAGGAAGGCCTTTCCAAAACTCTGATGTTCATTATAATTATTAATCTCAAGGATAAAAAGCTTAATAATTACGAGGACAATTGGTAACTACAGTATATGAGCATTAAGACGCGGTTTCTTGTTTGGATATTTTTAAAAATAATAGACATTTTATTTCAGGATCTTAAGATGGTTCTATTCGTATTTTTGATTTGGAAAATTTAGAAAAGTAAATTTTAAATAATTTAAAAAATTAAATTTATATTTAAATAAAGAGGAAGTAATTTAGATTCAGTAGGAAATATATAATGTAAAAACGAAGAAAATGAAAATCAAAAAGATGCAATAAAATCAATTAAAATAATTTAAGATTCTTCTACAATTTTAGTAGGAACAAACGGATAAATAAACTTATATAATGTAAAAATATATATATATATATATATATATATATATATATTTAGTTATATATATTACTTATAAAATAAAAAAGATTGAAAATGTTTCAAATAATTTGATTCCAGAAGATAAAAGATCCTCTAGAAATATATAAAAGTAATATGTTGACGGAGAAATTCGTTGCTTAGAAAGTCTTTAAAATTAAAATAATAAATGCTTTTTATATACAACATCTAAAGGGAAATTAGGAATTATTGATATTCGTTCAAAATCTTCCACTTTAACATATAATATAGGAAAAGAACGAGGATTGATTTCATCTTTAATATTAGCGCCTAATTAATAGTAATAACAAAAAAAAAGATTTAAAATATAATAATAAAAAAAAGTACTGCAGTTATAAGTACATTAAATGGATATATTCTTTTATATGACATTAGATATAATATAGTAACACATACGTATTAACTATTAAACAGCTAAGAATAACCTTTAGGAATATTCACATTACAAAACCTATATAAACATGCCAATATAGATTATTTAAATGAACATTAAAATCTTATCTGTATGAGTTATGCATCCGACAATAACGAAATAGCGGCTTTTAACCTTTCTGCAACTTAAGAAAACTCTAATCCTCATTTATATATGGTGAGTACAGGAAGCTATGATACTACATTCCATACTCCGATTTTAAGGTAATTGAAAAATCACGAGATTCCTAAAAATTATATTGGGAATAGTCTAAAAGATATGTTCGATTATGATTTTATACCTGAATTTTCTTCGAAAATTGATGTACTTTCTTATTTAAAAGATTCCCTAGTTTCCACTCAAAATGGGATTAAATAAAAATGGCTCTAATATAGTAGTTAGTGTTATTAAAATATTATAAAAATGCAAGAAAGTAAGAATTATATTAGTAAAATTCTATGCTTGCCAAATTATTAATTAAATAATATGTAGGCTTTTTAATAAAAAACTACTCAGAATGTTATTATTACTTGTGGAAATGATAAAAATATACGATTGTGGTAATTAAATAGCGATTTGTAAAAAAATATTGGAAATTTAGAATGTTTTTTTAAAGGATTTCATGTATCTAATGTAGATGGAGTAGAAAGAAATTTTTCCTGTAAAAAAATTACTGGAATGACTATCTTACATGAATTCAGTAGAAATTCTTTAGTCTAATTTTATTAGAAAAATGATGCAGGGAAAAGTAAAAAGGGTCTATAAGATGAAATTAATTATAATTCGTTCTATAAAGCAGATAAAAGGTGTAATCATTAAGATTTGATTACTGATATTGTGTATGCAGAAAGAGATTTGGGGTCGTTTATTATTTCTGCTAGTAGAGATTGTACAGTTAAAGTTTGGAAATGAAATTTTTAGTTTTTATATTTATTTTTAAATTTAATATATAAATATATATATTATGTATTTTTTTCAAACTAATTTTTTTTAATTTATATTCATTTTAATAAAAAAATTATTATATATATTATATTTTTATATTTATAGAAAAATATTTTTTTTATTTTTAAAAAGAAAAAATTATATAAAATATATATATATATATATATATATATATATTATATATATATATATATATATATATTACTTTTTAATATTAATAATTTTTTATTTTACATATAAAATTTTTTATTTTTTAACTTTTTTTTATTTATATTCATATTAATTTATAATTAATATTTTCTTATATAGCTAATCTTAATTAATATTAAAAAATGATTAAGATTATTTTAATTTTATTATTATTTATATTAGCGTCAGTTTAACTTAGAATCGCTGATGATTTCAAAGCTGGATTATTTAAATTTAATACTATATAGAGCGGTATATATATAATTAAAAAAACATGATTTATATTTATTTATATATATTAGGAATATATTAAATTGATATTGGAGATTTAAATGATGATCTTTTAATGGCATATGGAGATTTTGATGGAAATAAAAGGTAACCTTTATTAAAATATAATTAAAATATATATTTATTAATTTTAAGTACTGATATTGTTACTTTATCATCTTAAAATATAATTAATATATGTTTATGGTAAAACGATGGAAGTAAAAATTTAATATTAATATATCAAAAGCCTATATTTTAAAAATAATAATAAACACTAAAAAAACATAATAATTTATTATTTAATATAAAAAAGCCAAATTTAAAAAACATACATTACAATAATCAAAAAATGAGAAATGCTAAGGAAATATAGTTAATATAATACCTGGTAAAATAAACTATACAAAAATAAAATAAATTAACAAAAATATTAAACAAAAAAGGCGATGTAAATTATGATGGAAATTTAGATTTAGTATTAATAAAATAAACATAAGATAAAAATATTTATTGTTTAAATGTTTTAATTTAAAAAAATTGCAGTTTAAATGACTGTTAATTTATTAATTCCGTATATATAAATATAGAAATGGATGGATAACCTTTTGCTGCTGATTTTTTAGGTCAAATAAACTAAAAAAATTTCTAACTTATGTATTTTAGTTAAAATGAAAATAAAAGAAAAATTATTAACTTTTTACAAAATGAAATGTAAAAAATATAAATTTATTATAATCAAACGAAAAAAAAAAAATAGGCAATAAATAGAATTTTCAACATTAATTTCTTTAAATAGCGAATGTATATAATATCCTTAATAATTTAAATTTGCAAATCCACATTTTAGTTCGTTTTTAGATTTCAATGGGGATTGTAGAGCAGATTTAGTAATACATTCAATAAATGATTAAGGAAAATAATAAGTAGAGTTATGGGAAAAATTAGAAAACAATAAATTTTGTTTAAAATAAATACAAATTTCAAAATCATAGGATTTTGATTTAAAATCTTTCACATTATTAGACATAAGTTAATAAAAAAGAAAAAAAAAGAAACTAAAAATTAAATTTAATTTTTTTTTTAAAAACTAAAAATAAAAGATTTTGATGGAAGTGTAGATTTTATAGCTTTAGTATAAAATAAAAATACTAAAGATTCTACAATAGTAATATCATATAATAAAAATAATGTTGACCCGTCAAATTTATGTCAAAGATTTTCAAAATAATCATACGAAGATTTTTCTATATAGGGTCCTTATACATACCATTAATAACTTACATTTGTTCCTTTTTCAAACAAATAGGAAAACTTGGTATTTATAAGATTACAAGATGTCGATTTAGACGGTATGCCTGATTTAATATTAACTTCCGATAACTAACAAGAAGAAGGTAAATTTGTAATTCTAGAAAATAAAAAATGTAAAGGAAAATAATGTGATACCATAGAAGCAGAAAATCCAAGATTATTTGTACTTTCAAGTGATTAAGTTTGGAAAGAAATGAATGATTAAAACGCACATACCGTTTCTTTTTTCGATATTAACGAAGATGGAAAAATAGATTTCTTTATAAATACCAAGGATTATTCTTCTGGAAAAAATTCTATTAAATGCTTCTTTAATTATATATCTACAGATGCTTTCTTTATTAAAGCTTTAGGGCTTAATGGATAATGTAATAATAATAAATGTTAAAGTGGAATTTATTATGGAGCTACATATGAATGTAAAGTTACTACTTTAGATACTACAGAAAAAGTTGCTACAGGTATATTTAAATTAATAAATATATATATATATTATATATATATATATATATATATATATATATATATATATATATATATATATATATATATATAGGTGTTTAACTTAGTCAAAGTGCTTATAGGTCTTTACAATTACCTTTTGTTATTTTAGGACTTGCAAGAACAAATAATTACATTGAAAATTTAACTGTTGGTTTATCTTTAAACGAGGTATTTATATTAAAAAATTGAATATATATAAAAATATATATAAAAATATATATATATATATTTATATATATTTTTATATCTATATATATATTTATATTTATATTTATAATAGTTTTTTTTTTAATAATAATATTATAGGATAAATAATCAAGAAAAACTTGGACTCCAATTATTCCTAATTCATAATTAATTATATACCCTTTAGAATAAAAAAATAAGTTTTCTTTTTTTTTAAAAAAAATATAATTTATATATTTTTTTTTTAATAAAAATATAGATGGGTATTGAGTATATTTGTTTAACCTAACGAAGCTTTACTTATTATAATAATTGTTACTGTAACCATTTTATTTATTTTAGGTTTTATTATTGGTTGGTATCATTATAAAGAGAAATAAGAAGACAAATAAGGACAAGTATAATTTTTTCATATTTTTAGATGAAAAATACATTTAATATAAATAATTATAATTTTTTAAATATTAAATATATTATGCTTTTAATTTTAAATAAAAACATTAATATATAATTAAATAAGATTAATATAGTACTATAAAATATTAATAATAATATTAAAATTAATTATTAAATTTTTATTCTATTTTTTATAATATTGTTTATTCTTTTCTAATAGCCAATTTTAAAATATATATAATTATATATTATATATATAATAAATATTAATCAAAATTATGCGACAGTCTATAATTTTGAGCAAGTTTCTTCTAAAAGGCTTAACAAATTTTCTTCTGTTTCTTCTCTAATTAAAAAATATAAAAATTAAATTTATTATATTTTTTTTTTTTTTTTAATTTATTATTATTATTTTTTTAAAAAAAAAACCTTGTTTTTTTTTCATTATCTAATTCAACTTTAACACGATTTACTACATCTTTAAGCATGTCAAAAATTGCAGCTTCAGATTCTTCTCTTAATCTTTTTTCATTAAAAATAGTTTCGTTTAATTAATTAAGCTCATTTGTTATTGTTTTCATCATATTTTAATCACTTTCTTCTCTTTCTTATCTTTCTGATTCTATTGCTCCTTCTATTTATGGTAAGTCTTATTAAAGAGATTAGAATAGATCCTCGATAAACTAGTTTCTTTGGGACGATTCTCTTTATATTTCACCTTTAAGTAAATTAAATTTCTCTTCTAAGCTTCTAATTATTTTACTTTCGTGTGTTTTTCTAGACTATATATGTATAATTTATATATAATTAATTAAATTAAAACATAAAAAAATATAAATTTAAAAAAAAATTGTTTCAAAAAAAAAACTTATATTTAAAAATATAATAATATATATAAATATTTATATATATATATACATCTATTTCATTCTCTAAAATTTATGTTAATTTACTTTCTATTTGATACATATTTTAATTAGTTTAATCTATTTAATTATCATTATTTATTTTTTCTTCTTCTAGTATTTTTTCGAATTTGACTAACTATTAATAAATTTTTAAAAAATAAATGATATAATTTTTATTTTTTTTTATTATTAATATATTTATTTATATATTTTTTGTTAACATTTTCACGGATTCCATTTAACGAGTTGTCAAATTCTCCTTAAACTTCTTAAAATTATTATTCTAATAAATTTAAATGATTTTCAGATTATTCGAATTTTTTATAACGTTCTGTTTCAACACCAATCTATTTAATATAATTTTTTTATTAGTAATAATTATTTAAATACTTATATTGAATTAAGTTTATCTTATATTCTTTAAATACGATCTGAGTACAGAGATTAATTTAAAATATTATTATCTTTTTTTATTATTTAAGATTATTTATAATTAATGATAATACATTTTTTTTATTATTAATATAAATGTTTATATTAAATTTCTTTTTTTTTTATTTTCTTACAATTTTATTTACTAGATTTAAATGACATTTATATAATTGTTTCAGTTGTATTTATTAAAGTAGTTTTGTTTTATTTTTAAAAATTATAATTTAAATATAAAAATATATAAATAAAAACATATAAAATGAAAATAAATATTTTCAAAATAAATAATAAATACTAGAAGAAAAATTAATTTAAAATCATATATAGATGAAAAATTTTCTATACAATTATGAATTAATAAAAAAAAAAAAAATTCATTTTTTAAGGATTTAACTAAATTAATATAAAAAAAAAATATAAATATAAATATAAATATATAAAAATTAAAATATATGTATAAATATTTATTGATATATAAATATTTAAATATTTCTATATTTAAAAAATTTTTTATAAATAATACCTTTATTAGTATCTTAGCTTCTTTTTATTTAATTTAGAAGATAAATAAAATATTTTTTATCACATTTTAGAAATTATTATTTATTTAAATAAATTTAAATATTTGTATTTTATTTCAAAATATTATATACTTTTTTCAAATTATTTTACTAAAATTATTCTTTTCTTAAATTTTTATAATTATTCCTACTAATTTTTCAGCTATTTTAGACAATATAAACCTTTTAATTATTTATATTTTTTTTAGAAATTTAATAAAATTTACCTTTTTGAATTCATTTATTACATCTCCTTTAAATTTTATTTATTGTATTTTTTAAAAATCAGCAATTTGTAATTCTTTAATTTTATCAATTATATTATTTATAGCAAATTTTTTTTCATATGAATTTCTTCCCGTAATATTCTTTTATTGATCTTATAACATCCCAAAAACATTAAAATTACCTTAAATAATTTACTTTTATTATTCTATTTATACTAAAATTCCATTATTTTTCATTATATCATATACAATTTGTATATTTTATCTTATTTAAGCTATATTCTTAGGTTTTAATAGAATTTTTTATTTATTCAAACCTAATTTACTAAGCAAATCATAAATAAATACTCCGTTTCTGACTTCATCTTCAAAAAGCGTCAAATTCTTATTATAAAAATCAACTTATTCTTTTTTATATCCCATTTCAAAAATAAGCCATTATAAATATTCTTTTTTTACTTATAAAAATATATAATTTTTGTTATAAAAAATACATTTTTCACATTCAGAATTATATTAATTTTTTAATATATTATATGAAAATTAATTACTCTAAAAATTGTTTTTTTATAAAACTCTATTAATAATCTTTTTAAGAACTTTTTCTTTAATGTTATAATTATTGCTAGTTTTATTATGTTTTCTATTATTATATTTTCTAAAAACAATTTTTAATATCTTCTAATATATTCCAAAAAGCTTCCTTTTTCCCAAATTTAAGTTCTTTTATAAAATGAATGCTTTTTTTGTCAAAAAAAGGTATATTTTATAAAACATCTTCTACTTTTCGGAAATTATCATTTATATCTTGGATATTATTAGTATTTCTTTTCCCCTAAACTTATTAATTTCCTAAAAAAGCATTCAATAAATCAATAAAAAAAGCCCCGTTTATAGTAAATTTAATAATGTCGTCAACATTTTAAGAAAAATGATCTTTAATTATTTTTGTTTATATTAACCATTCATAAGTTTCTTTTTTTCGAACTTCTTATTTATTTTCAGGACTATTAAAAATTGTATTTTGGGGAGTAGAAGGAAAAGAATGCATTGAATTTTCCTTATTTTTGGAAGTTGGTTACTTATCTTTTTTAATAGAAGAATAATTCGAATTAAATATATGTCCAGAATTTCGTTTTGGAATTTATTTTTGGACTTTTAATTACTATTAGATATTGTAGCTATGGATAAGTTTAAGGCTTTTTGATTTGTATTTTGATTATTTTTTATGTTTACATTTGTTTATTGACAAAGAGTTGTAAAATTTGACAATTAATTCTATTCTTTTTATTTATATAAAAATTATAAGACTTCCATTTATTAAGATGAACTCTTTTTTTTAATATATATATTTTTATATTTATCTGTATTTTTTGTTTTACTTCATATAGACTTTAAGGGGTTCATTTTTTTTATATATTCAGGAACTTTTTTCTAAAGTCTTTTATTGTGTTAAGAGAAGTAGTTAGGTTTATGTAGTTTGCAAATATTGCTTTATTTGTTTTTATAAATAAAGTTTAGATAAATAGTTTAATATATAATTAATATATTTTTATAAAAATATACTTTTTTAAAAGACTATTCTTGAAATAAAATCCTTTTTAGAATTGTTTAATATTATTTCATTTATAAGAAAACAAAATATAATACCTATTTATATAATAATAATTTTTTTATTATATAAGTTTATATTTAATATATAAACCGCTTTTTAATTCATTTATATTTTAAATTCACGACATTATTTATATGGAAGAGTGTTAATATATGAGATTATATTTTTAATATTTTCTTAATTTTTATCAATATTATAAATAAAAAATGATTTCATAAGGTTTTAAATATTTGATTAACTTTATCAAAAATAATCTATTTATATATTTTTTTTGTTTATTAATATTTTAATTTTTTACGTTTAAAAATTTATATAAATAAAATTAAATATAATTTTTAAAAATTACTAATAATTTTTTTTTTAGTAAATTATATAATTATGTTTACATTTTTATTTTATTATTTACTTAAAAAATAAAAACTAATGAAAGATAAAATAATTTTAATTAAAAATAATAATTATTATTATAATAATAAATAATTTTTTATATATTAAAAAAGAAAAAATAAAAATAAAAAAAACAAGTAAAAAAAAAAAGGAAAACAAAAAAACAAAAAAGGAAAAAAAAAAAAA